AATAGTAGTATTAAATCGCTAATTGGAGTGAATGTTGACTGAGCGCTGTTGAAAGATGTAGGGTGATATAGATTTGGGGACATCAACAAATGACGTCTAGATGTAATTCATATTTTATTGCCCATTATTACTATATTAATTTTTTGCAGGATGTTTCAACACTTTAAGATCCACTCCCATTAATGATTGACGTCATTTATGAACGATCCCACTACGACTTTCGATTGTATATCCGAAATTCAATTAACAATGCTTCTATTGAATTACCTAATCTGCCTTTTACCTCTGACAACTCTGCATGCTGTTCACTATATTTTATCTCATCCTCTCAAGCCATCATGGCATTGTTGTAGAAAGTTCATTAAAGTTTTCTCAGAAAAAAATTATGCAATCGAGACAACACAACAGTCGAGAAGGCACATAAGCAAGTTTTTCGTTAATTACACTTTTGTTAAAGTATTCCTTGCGGCTTAAGCAATTAACTAATTGCCAAATGTGAGCATATGATAGTATGTATACATAAGGGTAGTCGATGATAAGGATAGAACATTTTAATGGAGATTCAACCAACGATAATCAAATACGATCTTTTCAAAACCACAAATGTTCCTGGTTGAAATTGCAAATTCTATTTGGGTTACTGAATATTTTCTATTATGGATGAGATGAGTTACTTGACTGAATGAAGAAGATGTTCTTTTATATCTAAAGGAGCTTCTAATTGCTCAATATAGTTATAAACAATCTTCACCCTACAGCACTTAGTGATCTTTACACAAGAATATCAAATATTTAGCACTAGACTAGCAAGAAATATCAATTAGTAATGAATCAATAAAAAATTTGTCATGCATAAAAGGCATGACGATAACAATGATAAGATATATTTTATTTTATGGACATCTATTTCCATAAAAGCTTTGCATGTATTTTGTTGGTATTTACTATCCAACCTTTTTTCATCTCTGCCATTTCCTTCTATCTTTTTATGCCTACTCATCTTCTGGTTTACAAAATTTATGCTTTTTGTGTTTGCGTCACAAATCCATCATTTGTAGGGAATATGTGGTTTTTTGTAGGCTCGGGAAGGTCATATTCCATCGAGTCTGAGGCAAATGGTCTGAAAATTTGGTGTGTATGGACTAAAAAATAACTTTATTGACTTGAATAAAATTTGATTAAATATTCGATAAAAAGCTGAATAGCTTATTAAGTCAGTCATCCAAAGCGATAAGATAATCAAACTGTTATCATACAAAAGAAGCTAAAAATCAACATAAAATGATTTTTTTTCTCTGTGTGTACTTTATTTTCTTCTTCGTCCTTCACATCGACTCAACCCTTGATGTATTTATCCTGAGGGGAGGCTTAAGTAAAAATGACATACACAATGCCTCACCTCATAAAAACTATTTGTGATAAAGTTTCAATCTATTCATATCATAATCCACAAGGAGAGATAGAGTGAAAAAAAACATGGCAAATAGAATCTTTATGGTTCTGCCACCACATGTATATCTACATTTTCCATAAATGTATCCTCTTTATCCCATTTGTTAGGCAACATTTTTTTGTAGACGACGTAAAAATGAGAATGGGAAATGTACAGTTGATATGCGAAAGTGTGCCAATTCTTTTTTTTTTGTTTGTTTGAATACAAGTGTTACAGTACATGGAGGAATTGACTTGAATTCTGAACTCAAAATGCGCAGTTTTAAGTTATTTTTTGACTATTGTTTGAGAACTTCCGTATTAAAAACACATTTTAGAGTTAATAAAATTTCATGAAGGTTCTCTTTGACTGTTTTGTTTTACAGCACATAAAAATTGATCATGTCATTACTTTGTGTTTCAATCTGTCCTTAATATGTACCTTCATTGATCAACACAGCACACTTGACTTCATTTTTTTCTATTATTATAAGAATGCGCTTCATTAATCTACCCACGCAGGATTCTCGATTTTAAGTATTAGCTTGAGAGACGAGTGCGAATAAACTTCATGACAAGTGAAAGCACAAAAGCTTCATAAAGACGATGAAGGAAATAATCTCTGTCATGTCGAAATACACATGATTTTTTTTTCATTGCTCGAGTTTTTTTAGTGTTTGTCAATGACTTAAGATGATTAAAGAGTGAATGGAGTTTCGAGGAAAGAGATAAAAATAAAGGTGCGCATACAGCAAGCGTGGTTGTAATAAGCACTTTAATACAAAGATTAGTCGATGCTCGAAGGATGAGGAAGAAAATTTGTGAGAAGTAAGAAGTTGGATAATCTGTAGTCATTACCGTTGGCGGAAGGTTTATTTATAAGCTATAATACAAAACGATTGCAGCCGCAAGGCTCAAGATTATGGCGAGAAAGTTTAAATGATTTTTTGTAGAAAACAATTCAGAAAAATTTCTCAGAAGGAAATTCTTATTTAAATAATTTTCATAAATCATTCCAACTAAGCTTGAAGAGCTGATCTTACACAAAACAACAAAGCATCTTGCTTCGAAACATATTGACCGTTAAAATTAAGAAGACATTTATTCTACTTAAAACTTTCCGCATGATGTAAATTCTGGATCTTAAGCTTTATTTATTTTTCATCTTTATGTGCGGATTTAATTTCTTATTTCTTCCTTTTTTGCTCATTCTTCATTATACAAAGGAAATTATACAAGAGAAAAGGAATCAATTTCAATGTACTTTATTGTTTAGGGGTTCTGACTTTACCGGTCATTTTGAATTCAAATTTTTCACTTGAAAATAAACATTTTTTTTTTGGTTCAATAAGTCTTGTACTCAACAAAAAATAAAAGACATGACAATCATATTCACACAAAATTTTCAATTTTTGTGAATATCCTTAAAGTCCATTTCAACTTTGGCGCATACATTTAAAAATATTTAAAATCTCATCAGATTCCTTTTAATATTCAACAGCAAACAACAGATTCTTAATTTAAGCATCAACATAAATCCATTTGAAATCAAAAACAGCGAGAGTCTCTAGCTGGTATTTCGAAATAAGCTCTTCTGTGTTTCCTACTTCATCATTTGATGTTGTTTGGATAACTCATGCTTGCAAACGGAAATCTAAAGCAAATAAAGATCAGAAAAAAAAATAAAATTTCTTGTTTCTGTTTCAGTTTCTCTTGGTTGGATGAAGGCAAACATTAATATACACAATGAATCGGTTTCTCTTGCCTTTTTCTCATTTTCCTTAAGGTTTCCTTCCTTTTAATAGCTAGATTTACTAGTGGCAGAGCGAATATTAATCATTTTGAAACCTTTATGGCATCAAAAATGAAATCTGCGCTCTTCTATTTTAATTTCTGTAAATAAATTTAGCTCTTTTTGGGTTTAATTTGTAGTTTGTGTGTTTCGGAAGTGGAATTAACATGAGAACATTTCTGTAGTTCCTTTCTTTTTACATAGCATATTTACATAAAATCACTATTAAATTTTGAAAATCTGATGCCTTTTTAAGGCAACATCATGCGGTTTGATAGAACAAATTGTAGGAAATGTTTAATGTCAAATCCTTTCCCTCATGATCTACACATTGCTCTCGATACATGTGGTTTATTGAATACAGAAATTGCTGCATGCTCCATTTGGTTCATCTTGTGAAATTGATTGGATTTATTTTCAAAGTCATGAAATTTATTCATTAATCTAATTGATGTCAACTTTGTTGTGAGTTGTGGGGTGCTTGGATGACTAAGTTGTTCAACTTCATGTTCAGGATGTGATTTGAGAAAAAAGTTATTTAATTTACTGCAACTCTTTTGGAAAATTTGTAATAAAAAATCAATCTTATATCCGCAAATGGAATGGTTTGATGCCTTACAAAGAATCCACATCTGTCAAAACAGTAAAGCTCATTAAGAGCTTTTAAAGCTTTTGGTAAAATATGTCAAGATCGATTCTTTTGAAAGACTTTTGTATCGTCTCTAATGACTCGAGCAGCTTGATTCAAATAAAATCTGTGTTAAATTTCATAATAAATCAATTAATCATGCTTTGAACTTTATGATTGTATTGTTAAGCATCATGAGGATCAATATTCATCAATCATAATAAATATTTTAAGAAAAATCCTTAACATACATTCTATTCTCATTTCAGATGCTGTGCCAATAAATTTTGGATGTGGAAAATTGTTAAACATCATGAAAATGAAGTGGAAATAAGAATCATTGAACAATGATTGAAAGAATTTGACTTTCATGATTAGGAAATTTAAATTTTTTTTATAAGATTTTTGTTAAAATGTTTGCAAAAAAAATATGAAAATGTGTGTGTCTCATCATAAATTAGTGAATATTGGCAATTCTAGTAAAAATCGTAGAAAAGTTTCCTATACGAATACAACTAATGAAATTAGTGAAACATAAAGTTTATATATTTGTGATAAAAAAGGTTTAATTAATTTAATTTTAAGTAACGAAGAAACAGAAAGTTAAAGATTGATTTTAAGAAATTGTTGTGGACAGTGTCCGTGAATTCTCGGAATATTCAGAAGGTTGATAGTTTGAATTTAATTTTTTTTAACCAAAATTTTGAACTTTTGGAACAAAATTTTGAATTTTTTGAACAAAATTTTAAACTTTTTGATCAAAGTTTTGAATTTTTTGAACAAAATTTTGAATTTATGAAAAAAATTCTGAGTTTTTTGAACAAAGTTTTGAACTTTTTGAACAAACTTTTCAATTTTTTGAACAAAATTTTAAACTTTTTGAACAAAATTTTAAACTGTTTGATCAAAGTTTCGAATTTTGAACAAAATTTTGAATTTTTGGAACAAAATTTTGAACTTTTTGAACAAAGTTTTGGATTTTTTGAACTTTGGAACAAAACATAAAATTCGAAACATTCAAAATTCTCATAAATCTCTTTCAATTTCTTCTAGTTCCCAGTTGAAAAATCCCAGAAGAAATCAAAAAATAAGTTTTAATTTTCATGTGTATCAAGTCGAATCACAAGAAGAAAATTAAGTGTTTTATATATGTATTTGTTAATTAAATTGCAATTTGATATAAAATTTGCGGAATACTGCACATTACACAACAATAATAGAGATGAAATGAAGTTGCTTCAGAGTGAAATGATCGTCATATTTGCTCTAGTTTCAGGTGAGATTATGTTTACTTTTTGAATGCTTAATATTCGTTTTTCTTTTGTGCTTGTGCATTTATTCGTTCAAGCCAAAATGTATTTACACAAAAATGCTACATGCATACGAATGTGAAAGTCTTTAGTTATGTACGCTTGATTGTACCAACATTTGAAATTTAAATATTTAATTGGTCAGTTAAGAGGCAACATGAAATTAAATTTTCAATTTAAAGTTTGCCATTTCATAACACCTTTGGGGCCATTTTAGAGGAATGCTAATAGATTCATAGTTCACATTTCAGCCATAGAATGTTTTCAGAATGAAAATTTAATTTTTCGTATTTAATTTCATAAGTATTTGGAAGCTGTTACGAAATCTATTCAAATTTTAAGCTTGAAGGCTTTTATTTAGTGCCAATGAATAGAAAAACATGTTTTCAAATATAAATGGAACTGACACACATGAACTAGATGTGTAAAGAATAGAAATAGTTCCGAAAATTGCACAACATTCAATTCGTATCCTCTTTGACGAATAAAATCAAAAGCTCTTCAAAATGCAAATTCCAATTCATATCTATTCAAATATGCGCAAATTAAATCAATTGAAACCCAAAATTTGAAATTCATCATCAAAATCAGTCTCAATTTATCTAATTAATACTTTAAATGAGATTCTATCGATATGGCAATTAAACATTCTCGAACATTCCACACATCTTTCGTCTAGCAATCCATCGAAGAGGCTTTAAGTATCTAATGTTAACGTACAAACACACAAACCAGCAGTTTCAAGCTATTCATTTGTAGCACAACAATAAAGAATGAAATTTATTGCAATTCCGTGCATGTAGCATTTTTCTCTTCATTATAATTATGTATCTACTCTTGTTCCTTACTATACATACATAGTATTCCCAATGTACATATTGTACGAGATGATTGTATATTGCATGAAAGGGAAGCATTGCTTCTTAGCGATGTGTTTCGAGAAAATAATGGACAGCTTCATTTTATTTACCGAAATGAGTTTTTTGTTCTACAGTCAGTGACTGTACTGCACACCATAGCATCAGAATATTAAATTTTATATAAAAAATGCGTCTTAAAAGACTTCACAGCCACAATGTCTTACTGAATGATTTATTTTCTTGTTTTTCCATCCACTTTACCATCAATCTGCATTTGCAATGATGAACATAAACAATACAGTATGTGCAGCAAATCCTGATGCAAAACGATTATATGACGACCTTCTTAGTAATTATAACAAATTGGTGCGTCCTGTTGTTAATGTGACTGATGCATTAACCGTACGGATAAAGCTCAAACTCTCTCAGCTCATAGACGTGGTAAGTTGATTTGCCTTACTCTGCTCTTTTCTTTTCGGTCATGTCCTGACATAAAACTAATTTTTTTGTCTATTCCCATATTCTATATCCATGCATGTTTGTGGTTGTGACAAAAAAAAACCATTCTGAACATAAACAGAACTTGAAGAATCAGATAATGACATCAAATCTCTGGGTGGAGCAATCTTGGTATGACTATAAATTGAAATGGGATCCACGCGAGTACGGTGGTGTGGAGATGTTGCACGTGCCAAGTGATCATATTTGGCGTCCCGACATAGTTTTGTATAATAAGTAAGTATGACATGTTGTCCTTGATTGTCATGGGTCTCCATAAAATTTATAATCCTGTTCTTCATATCATTTTTAGTGCCGATGGTAATTTCGAAGTCACATTAGCAACAAAAGCAACGCTAAATTACACAGGGCGAGTGGAATGGCGACCTCCAGCAATCTACAAAAGTAGTTGTGAAATTGATGTTGGTACGAAGAAAATGATGATTTTCCACATTTCCTTTCATTACTTTGACATCGCAGCTTTTGTGTAATGTGTTTTTTTTCTTCTTTTCTTTCTGTGCCTTCATTTGCAGAATATTTTCCGTTTGATGAGCAGACTTGTGTTATGAAGTTTGGTACGTATAAGCGACACATATATGAATGACAAAGCAATTCTTTGATTGATTCAATTCAAATTTATTCAATCTTTATTTCGATGGCATATTATGTATTGACATAAATTTTTTATATTCTCTGTCTTTCGATATAGGTTCATGGACTTATGATGGATTTCAGGTATGTGTGAGGATATGAGGAAAAAAAGGGTTGAGAAATCTCATTTTCTTTTATAAATCTTCATTCTTTTCTGTCAAAATATGAAATTGAAATAAAAATGAGACAATTTTGATGAAGAAGAATGAGACTTGAATATGAAATTTTGAGCCCGATTTTTGTGATAAAGACAATTTTATGAATTTATAACAGTTCAGCATTGAGATTCAATAAGAATTTAGCACGCTATTTGAAGATTTGTTTACTTTCAACCTTAAAGTTACAAATTGTAAATTTTGCTTTATTTTTATCAATTTATTCAATCAAATTGACATTAATCGACGTGCTCACTTCTATTTAATACTCTAAAGTCTCGCAGGTAATCAACAAACTTCAAATTAAGCTAAACTTGACGTTCAAAAACTTGAAGTGTAAAAAAAAAAAATTGAATCTGAAAATATCAATATCAAGTTGAGATTTTCATCGAAAAATAATCCAATTTAGTAAATTTATCAAAAAATTCAATTAAATTTTCTTAAGTTTATTTTCATAAAATTCAATAAGTACCAAAAACTTTTAAAACTTTTTCATCTTATTCATCTCCAAACACCTTTTCTTCCACTTCCACTTTATTATTCAGTGATTTTTTTCTTTAATCATAAATTATATTTTTGACACAGCAAAATCCTTGACCTTTTTTAAAAATTCCCCAGTCTTTGTTCCTCAAGAGGCAACACAGAAACCAGGATTGAATTACAAAGACAACCCAATCTAATGAGGATAAAAATTCAATTTGCATTTAAATTAGGATAATTAAATTTAAAATTATGATTCGAGATGACTTCAGACTCACTCGCATAAACGGTTCATATTTTCATATTAAATTCATAGTCGATTCGATTATGTAAATGATGATTGGAAAATGAATTAATTTCTGTCCATAGAGGACACTTAATGAGAATAAGACCATTGAGTTTCTGTTCTGGAGAAGCAATCAAGATGAAAATTTTACTTAAATTTGAATAACAATTTTCCTTTGTGGCTCTCAAGAGGACATTTTAAGGGTTGTTGGAGTTAATAAGGTTGTTTTATCTATTCAGAATGTGGAAAGTCTTATCAATCTTTGAACTTCTTCTCAAAAGGCTTCTTAAATTGATTTTAATTGAATGTTTGAGAAGATGAATCTTGTAAGGATGTCGTATGATATTCATGACTTACATTTCTGTAACATTTGCATAAATTTCTGTAGAAATAGCTTCATTGACTTTTATTGAATAAGAATTATTTAAATTGGAATTCAACAATTGAATCTGCATTGCTGAATTTCCTAGACTCATTTAATTGCCTGACATACCCGATAACAGTTTTAAATAAATCTTTCCATTTTTTTTTGCAGGTTGATTTGAGGCATATCGATGAATTAAACGGTACAAATATTGTTGAAGTTGGAGTTGATTTATCAGAGTTTTACACATCGGTTGAGTGGGATATATTGGAGGTGCCAGCCGTTAGGTATGTATTCATGTTCATAAATTTTCATCTACGAACGGAACCTTCTCATACGAGTGCTGACTTATTTGCGTTAAGTCACGTTTCTGTAATAAAAACATGAGAGCGCTCCATAACTACATTTATTATGTCTTATTTTTCGGCAGCTTTTTTTTTGTATGCAGCGGTTATGTTTCTGTCATTTGAATAATTTTTTGGAGCCTCATGGGGGGTGCTGTGAATGAGGAAGTGTTTGTGGTAAATAATATTTGGGGAACAGTTCACAATTTTCTGTGGTAATAAAGCAATTTTGACTGTTTGCTTGAATCCTTGATGAAATTTCGTCAGGAATAGAACTGACCTATTTTAGGAACTGTATAAAAAAAGTTGTAAATTTTTCAATCGATAAATTTTCCTTAATTCCCGCCCTTTCCTGCCTCAAACTCATTAAATATTCTTGAAAGAACTTCCCTCAAAAATATTAAAGCAACGCACATCCTGCGGCAAATTAAGATGTTACTTTAAATTCACAAATGAAAATGATTCAGTATGACAGTCCCCCATCTTCATGCCTCTACATCTTCACAGCTATATTTATCTGTATTTGTTTTGTTAAAAGAATTTTACAGTAAAGTTATTTAAAGAAGGAAAATCGATGAGAGAGACTGAATGAAACATTAACTGCTTACGCACGTGAAAGGAATCTCTTTTACTTATTGTCTGAATTTTTTTTATCCATTTCTTTGAATGTGTGTGTATGTGTGAGTGTGTATTTACTTAACGACTTGATAATATTTTTCCTTCTCAAAATGCTGTTCATATAATTTTGAGGGAAAGTTTTTTTGAGGGATGTAAAATTTGAATAATTATGATTATGGCTCATTTTGGGTGGCTGTCATATTTTACCAGCATATTAGTAGATTCCTACTGAATCTTTATTTTTTGATCTAGACAGACACACAAAGCTTGGACGGATTCGGCACAAAATGCGTCATTAAAAGACAAGCTTCACATACTCAATCTCTATCTTTTCTTCATTTAACAATTTACACATTAAAGCTATTTACATAATAAATTGCACCACAGAAGCTTTTACGATTTTTTTTTCTGCTTCTCTTTTGTTGTTGTGAATTCCTCCATCTCCTACTTAATAATCATCCTTATATTCGCACACACATAGAGCAAGAGCATCGTTTATTATTTAAGAAATATTGTTCGTTCATTTATCTTCCCTCAATTTTTTTTCCTTTTCTTTTTGATGGAAGAAGAGAAAAGTTTAACGCAAGTTATAGCAGAAAAAGTGCCGCCGTTATGCCTTTGGATGTGTTTGTGTATCTCCAGTCATGGTTGATTCTATCTACCATCTATTTATGTGATAGTGCAAAATTCAATGTGTATGAAAATTATCACATCAAAGGAAAGAAAAAAGTGCTTGGTAGAGGGAATTTTACGTGCATGACAAACTTTTTGTTGTGCTTCCTACTTTCTAACTTTCATGTACGTTTTTTTCTGGATGTTCCAAAGGTGAAAATTGGTCGCACTTTTAGTTGGTGAATACTTTTTATTGAGCATCAGTTTGGGTGTTGGATATACTCAAACATTGAAAGAATTTAGAATTTATGTGATTCACAAGTTTCAAGGATTCTTAGTTTAGGTATCAAGTATTTCTTATCCAAAATATAACTTTATGATTATTATAGTCAATTAAATGAATATGCGTCTTAAATTTTACACCTGCAAACAACATTTGCTCTCTTCTTACCTTCTTCTTGCTCAAATGTCTATTTTTCCTTACCGTCAATTTCAAGTTTACCTTTTTTTGCACCGTCAGAAAAGTAACAAAGTAGGAAACTTTATGAGAGAACGTGGAATAATTTTTCCTACGCTTCATTTTTGCTGCTAGTCTTAAGGGGGTTCATTACCATGTTATGTATAAAATTTAAATTTGAAACGAGAGTTTAAGAGACTCCTTTAAAATCCAATTTGTCATGTCTCTGTTCAGTTCTTGGTGTTAATTTTGTTTGGATACAAAACACAAAACAGCAGCCTTGACGAGTTGGAAATAAATTCGACTTGCAAATTAGACAAAAGATATATTTGAAGGGAGATGATTCTTCATCGTCATGTCTGTTATATATAGACATAAAATGTGTTATATGTAGTGCGAAAATTCCAACACCTTCCAACTAATTTACCCAAAAGTTTTCGCATTTTATGATTCCTTCATGCTGATGGTTCATGCTGCTTGAACGCAATTTTCTCAAGTTTTTCTAAGAAATCCTGAAAGTGTGTTATCGAATTTGTTACATTTGATAGGTCTGAAAGGTTGCGTGAGGATAAATTTTATTCATAAAAATTCAGCAATTGTTGACATCGCATGAAACAACTTGTTCTTATTCTGATCAGTATCTACTCCATATTATCATATTTCTACATACAAAAACTGCGTTAAATTCCAATTTGCAAGTCTCCTTGTCTTCCTTCCTCTCCAAACACGTCTCATTTCTTTTATTTTTTTTTTTGACATCAAGTGTTGTTATTGTTATTGCTGTTATTATTTCTACCCAACATGTGACGTGTCAAAAAAGTAAGAAGAGGTAAATGTTGTATGAGCGAATGTAATTGGATGTGACGGAACATTTGTCATTTAATGCATAAATTTTTGTTCGCTTAATTTTATTCTTTATGATGAATTGATGCTTTAAATTTATTTTTTTTTCTTGTGGGGTAAAAAGTTGGATCTTGATGAATTTCTATTGTCTCAAGAAATTACGAGCGATAAAGTTTTCTTTGTGGATTCTGTTATGTGATGGGAAGGAAAGTTATTCATTGAATGTTTGAGAAGTTTTGTGGATGATCTAGATTAGCATGTGAGAGAAATATATTCAATTTTAGCAAGCATGAATCATTATTGTTGATTGAAGTTGGTGGTTTAAGTGGCAGAGTGATGAGCTTCAAAATTAAAAGTCTTGTGTTCGATTCTTGGATTTGTGTTTTCGAAACATCCCTCAAACTTAAGGACATCGAGTTTAGAATCTGTTTTCAGAGCTCGAATCCGGGTCGATTTTATTCCAGAAAATTCATAACAAAATTGAATCTACTAAAATAGAGGACCGCCACAGAATATTCTAGAACTAGATCTTCATCCAAATTCAAGCCTCATTTCAATTTTTGATTGACTGCTCTTTAAGTACGGTTTCAGATATTGATCATAGCTTAAAAGAACATCAAATTCATATCTTATAATCAAAAGTTCAGCTACATTCCCTTAGCTTGTTACTTTACGTCTCACACAAACACCATTAAATTGTATTGTTTATGTGATGCCAAACGCTCATTATAAGTCAATTTATCTGAATGAAATTTGACTCGTTATCTTTTATTAATGGCCATTTATATGATAATTTTCCACAAGCAAGCACTATCTCATGTTAAAAATAAATTGGGCATTTCAATTAAACAAAGTGCATGAACTGATGCACTTGTGTCATTAAAACATATATTATTAAACGTATGAGAAAGTTCAGCAACTCATAAATTGTGCAGTTTGAACTTTTGTTTTTCTAATTTTCTCTTCTTTTTCTTCTTCCCATTTCAGAAATGAAAAGTTCTACACATGTTGTGATGTAAATATTGAATTTATGAAAACTTTTTTATATCTTTTTATTTCCCCTTGTGGGATTTTTTGCTAGAATTGAATCGAATGTGCAAACTTTATTTGATTTGCTGGCAATTTTTTAATATTTTTAAGCACTTTTTTGCGGGATGCTGTCAGGGGTGTATTAAGGAAGTGTTTTTGAGATACATTATGCCAGTAAGGTTCATTTAAGAACATTTCAAGGATGTCAGAAAGAACCATAATTTGAAAAAACCTAACCTCAAGTAATTCTGAATACACCCCTGAATGTTGAGATCCTTTTTAATCAAGCATAAATTCTAGCAAAATAATTCCGAGGGTGAAAGCTTAGGTGCCATAAATTTATGATAAATGTATGAATAAACATTAGCTTTAAATGGTCTTTTGGGACCAAAGAACAAACAATATTAATATTTCGAATAAATAACACAAAATTTCTTTTACTTCTTTATTTATGCCATGTACAGGAACCATATCTTGTGAGTATAAGCAAATAACTTTTAGTATATATTAATTGCTGTATTTTGTTAAGCACAGAGGTTGTTTGCCTTGAGTTATTGATGTAGAAATTCAAATCATAAAATAAAATATACGAAGATCCTTTCGCAGAAAAGGTATCAAGCTACAAAAATAAAAGTCATATAAAATCGTAAGATAAAGTTTACGATTTTTGTCTAGCAAATTTACTCCTTCATTTTATGACTACATCCGTCATAAAACTTACTCATTTTATACATCTGAAAAGGTTCAACAAATTTCCAAGAATTCATCAACAAAACTTTCTAAATTACTTTTGAAAATTCCTTCATAAAATGTATTCAGTTTCACTCTTTCTGTAATAAAACATTCTCTTTGACATCTTAATTACATTTCATTCCAACGACATGAGATGAGAATAATGAATTTCATTAAAGAATCCATTATGATATTAAGATTAACTATTTGTGTTACATTTTCGAAACAGTTCTGTAATAAAACTTGATAAAGATTAATAGATAGACGAGATTTACAAGTTAATGACACTGTCACAAGTCTAACTTGATTGTTTGTGATGAGTTAAATGAATGGAATCATTGAAATCGGATAATGTAGAGTGATTTAGAGTTAGATTTGAGGTAAATGTTTGGATTTTTAACATCTGGATATTGAATTATCTAGATTCAATGACAATAAGGCTATTTTTATCTTGAATATAGACCATCTGTTTATAGAAATGAATCTAAAATGTTGAATTTTGAATATTCATTATTTAAATTTCGAATTTTTCGATTTTTGAACTTGAATTTTCGAATTTTCTCAATTGCAAAATAGCAAACTTTATAACAATGAATTTTCAATGACAATAGAAACTTGATAAAAGAGGATAAAAGCTACCAACAAAATTTCCAACCTCAGATCATTTAACAGCTTAGAAAGTTTTCCATTCACAATAATTTATGAACGAATTTCCATCAACATTTTCTTAATTTAATTTATCTCCATTTAAAGCTTTTCCATAAATTTAATTACGAATGAAAATTTTTTATCTTTTCCTTCATCTCCATGCATTTCCTGATCCACAACACAATCTCAATTTCTATAGGATATAAGTAAGTATCAATTGTTATTTGGAATAAAATTAAAATGTGATTTGCATATCAAAATAATTTAAATTAAATATTCAGTTCCTCGAGAGCGAGGACAAATTTAATTTCATTAATTCATTTAACTTTGTTTTTGTGTCTCTTTTCTCATCTTAGCATTCAATGTAACAATGCGAAGGAAAACGTTATTTTATACAGTTAATCTTATAATACCTTGTATGGGTATCAGTTTTTTAACGATTCTTGTGTTCTACCTGCCATCGGATAGTGGAGAAAAAGTAAGTTTTTGGCTTTATAATTGTTATTTATTTGAAATCTGCATCATCTTGTGTGCTGCATCAAAGAGGGGATTGCACCGATGATTTATTAATTCGTCATTTCAAGCTCTAGAGCAATTCTATTGAGAAAATGTCAACGGTCATTTTCATTTTGTGTATGCAACTAGAATAAGTTGTCAAGTTTTAATTCGACAATCATTATGCTCATAGTCAGGACCTCAGAAGCCAACGAAATCAATCATCATTATTATCATCATAAAGTCTAAGAGCTAGTCATGAGAGAAACTAGCTATATTCAACTCTAGGGCATATTTAATCTGTCCAAATTTTGTTTACTCATCATTTTCTTCTCGTCAAATTAAATAATAACAAAAAGAACAGAACTAAAAGAAAGGAACAGCAAAAAAATAAGAAAGATGAGAGATTCTTTAAGTAAATTAATTCATATCACATAGAAGCGGAGCTTACAAATAAGAAAAATAAATAGGAAGTGAAAATAAAGACAAATGTTTCTCAACAAACAACTGAAAGAAGCGGAGAGGAAAATGAAAAGGAATTCTCTGAAAGATTTATATCTAGTGTGTTTATTATAGTCATCACAAGTCTCTCTTTCTCATTTCAGTGGCATACATTCTTATCATGTACATATAAAAATAATGAACATGTCTTGTCTTTTTATTTTTGACTTCTTTCCCTTTATAGAAATTATGTCAGATTTATGACATTTAATGTCTAATTTCGAGGAAGTTATGAAAAATTTATTAAAAACTTCTAAGGGACCGTTCACTTATGACGTCCGAATTTAACGATTTTAACGAATTTAACCGAATTTAATTTTAAATTTTCTTAAAAGAACAATGGATTTCCAGGAATTTCTATTGTTCTTTTCTTGCTGACCCCCCCCCCCCCCCCCTCCCCCCCCCCCCCTGGACGTCATAAGTGAACATCCCCTAATCTGACCTGATTTTCTTAAAAAATAGCTTCTTAACCTGTAAAACTTTTAATCAAAATTCCAAAAATGCCATCAGATCCACTTTAAACTCGATGACATCCTCCACAAGGAATTTTCTCTTCTAAATAAGAAGCTCTAAAGAATTTTTCATGTAGACACAAGAAAAGTAGAAATATCCTTAAGATCAAAGCACTTTGTGGACGAATATTTGCACTTCTTTTAATTTTTCTACTCTTATGTTTGCATTGCTGATGTCTTGTGATGAAATTTTCATTTCTTCATCTTTCCCTCATGCAATAAAATATAATTTTTTTGTGTGAGTCTTTCAGTGTCAGCCACTTAACGTAGAGCAGCTATTTAGAGCTGAGGATTTTGAAATTGGGAAGATATGTCTATACATTTATTAATACTGTTAAATGGATAATCAACATTTAATCGCAGTTGTCATTGAAATCTTGTCAAAGTTTATCAAATTCATTTTTATTTGTTCGAGTTAATCAAAGTTACAGTATTCATATTTTAAGGAACGGGTAAGAACATTAAGCTTCATTTTTTTCGAGACTGCACAAATGCGCATCAATTCCATAATCCTAATAGAATTTCCGCACCAAACTCAACATTCAATCATTGACTTGTAGTGAATGCAAAAGAAATATTTCATTTCCATTTCGTACTTTATTGATATTTGCTCAAAGAATCTTCTCTCTTTAGTTTATCATTCGTATCTCTATCTTTCGTCGCTTGTAGATGTTGAATCCGACGAAAGAATCATTTGATTGAGTAAATTTGTCTCTCGCTTAAGGGTTCATTGAGGATTCAAATGGTAAATTTGAAAATTTTATTCATTCCTTTGTGATTTTCATTCTTTTTTATAATATTAGAAATAAGGTTGGCTGAATGTGAATTTTTAAGGATATAAAAAAATGTTTCTGACATTATTGGATTTTTTTTTTGAATGGAAATGTGGGACTTTTAAAGGTTTATTTTTAGAGTTATTGGATGCATTTAAAGATTGTGGGGAGGCTTCTTAACAGCACTGTTACTGCCATGATTAAGGCTATGACTATTGAAAAACGCGAACATTTGAATAATTTAGATTATTATCATTATTCTCAGTGCGAGAACTTACAATGAGCTTTTTCATCGATGTAACTTAATCATAGGCTCAAGAATGCTCGAAAGAAAAGAAAATGAGAAACTTTAAAAATGAAGTGCTTATGAAATGACTTGAACAAAGAAATATTCTCGAGCATTACTCTTCACCCCGCTTATTTTTCTTTCATCAATGACTTGAATATCAAGAGAGTCTTTACTTTATGCTTGAGATTTTTTTTTAAAACTTTCTCTGTCATTCAATTCATTTTATTTCCAAGTAGTAAACGAACTCATTCGAATGCGGCATAAAAAGGAATTGGGGAAAAAAGGATGAAAATGTTTTAAAACAATTTTTTATGATGGAACTTTGAAAGCGTTCCAAATTCACTCTTGAGCTTTTTGGTGAAAATTAGTGCAATTTTTCTTCTGCTTGATGGAATGTATAATTTCTTTTGGTTGGGTTTTAAAATTTATTTTCTATAGGTCAAGTGAAATGAGGCATCAAGTTAATGTGATGGGCTGTATTCACTGAATTTGAGTCGATTTGGTCAAAAATCGATGAAGTGAAAAAGTGAAATTTTATAGGCGAAAAATCTTTTGACCACAAAATGTTGCGTTTTAAAACCGGATTAGGATTATGCACTTTAGTGAAAATATCCCTTTGTTTTAGGAGGTCTGACGTTGTGATAACAAACATAATGCATAAAATATCAAGTTAAATAAGATCCAGAACCAGTAAGCCAATCCGCAATTCTTACCAAGCTAGTACAAAAATTTGCCACAATTTACTCAGGTTGGGGTCGACCGTTTTTCTTCTCATCCTAAATGCTTCTCTCCAAGAATAGGGAAAGTGAATGTTAAAAAAAGCCATAAATAATTTCTTTTATATTTTATCTTCTGAACAGTAAGTAAGCTCTTTAGCTCTCATTCTTTACACAAGAAGACGAGAAAAAAAAATCATTTATTTAATTAACTTCTCCCCTTAAAAAAATGAGAAAAGAAGGCACCCGCTGGCAGATGAGAGATGAGAAAAATGAAAAGTTTTGTATATAAAAATTCTTCATGTAATAATTGCTCAAAAAACTGTCATGTACGAGAATGCGAATGAAAATGTGAAGGCACAAGAAGAAGACAGAAAGAAAAGTAGAATCAGCAGCATCTCTATAATGTCATTGTTTGTTTAATTATGTCATTAGACTGTTGAAAACGAGAATCTGTTTAATTGTGCCAACTCTCACTTGTTATCTTTATTGCTTTACAAGTTAAATATTTCTATTGGCTTTTGCAGCAGTAAAGGCAATTTGAGAAATTGACGGAGCAAAAAAGAAGTAAAATATAATTGGCGATTGAACTTTGAGAAGTTATTAAGTTTTCAAAATTAAATTAAAAAAAATACGAGTGTTATTAAAATCCAAATTTTTTCTATTATCAATGTTAAGGAATTGAACCTTTGACTTTTGAGAGCTCATCGCTTCGCAATTTGTTAATCAAATTCATTTAATTAAGTTTTGCAGAATGTCCATAATAAATGGCTTCACTAATTTGAAATAAGGTCGATAACAACGAGTAGTGCTCACATTTTAAAGTTTAGGAAACACAACCTATAAAGAAATCGTTGATGCTGGTTTCCTTATACAAACGCAGTGCCATGTATATTGCTAGGCTTTGCGAAAAAAAATATATTTGCATATTTTGTTCACAGCATAAATTTCGTTTAAAGCTCCTTAATTCTTCACGAAACATATTCTTTTCTATTTTCTCACACAAATTTTATTATTTTTTTTTTCGGTAGGATAAGTATCGTAGATGTTTGTGGGTTGTTGACTAAGGAACAATTTTGTTTGAGCTTAATGGATTTGGAGGCGTAAATTAGCATTAGAATTTGAATATTTTAGTAATTTTCTGATAAAAACTTTGCTCTAATTTCGATGAGAATAAAATCAATCAGTTTTATTGTTCAGTAAACAAATGAAAAGTAATTTGGCAGACAAATGGGGTTAATAGTACGACATGTCTCTCACTCTTTTTAATACAGCAATTGCGATTATACGAACAGAAATCGTCTCATTAATTTTGATTACTATTAAATACAGTTGAGGGTACATTTAGAAGGGGTGGGATGTGAGTCAACCCTCACTTTACGTAGCTTCTCTATTTGTATGAGCCAATACAACAAAAATCATACAACGCCCTGCTACACACCACACATACGCTCATCTACTAAAGCATAATATATATTGACTGTCGAAAGGATGGAAATTTTCTTATCAAAAAAGTAAAAAGAACGAAATTTTTATGAGCAAAATTATTTTTTTATATTCGCATGAACGAGAACAAAAAGAAGTAGAAAGAAGAATCAGATAAGAAAAAGAATGAAAATTTTATCGAGCATTGATCTCAAACACATACAGCAGAAAAAATGAACATGCTCACATAAGAAGGCGCTTCCCCCTCCTAGATAAGTGTAATTTTGGGGACGATAAGTTCATAAATCGACATTGATAATCGCTATAATAACGAAAATTTTCTCATTTTTTCTACTTTCAGGTATCGTTAAGCATATCCATTTTACTGTCATTGACTGTGTTCTTCCTCTTGTTGGCCGAAATTATTCCACCAACATCACTAGTTGTTCCATTACTGGGAAAATTTGTGCTGTTTACGATGATATTAGATACGTTTAGGTAAGAAAATGACTTTTTTAATTAAAAAGTAGAAAATTTTATTGTCACAATAAATATTGAACATATTTATGGAAGGTCTTAAGCCTTATCGATTGCTCAGATTTATGGGATTTGTCATTGAATGGTAATTTAATCTGTTATCGAATTTATTTGTTTTACTTATTGGATCTGTCCATGAATTTAGTATCTTACTCTACTTGGATAGCACCACTAGCATCCGTTAAAAGGATTCCAGGAACATAAATCACTAGATTGTATGAATATTTAAAAATACCCTCCAGCAATTGTTGACATTAATTGTGCTTGTCTAATACAGAACCACAATAAAGTTGAGCCAAAACTTGTGTGCGAAAAGTTGTCAAACTTTTTTTGCGTTGCTCAACACAAATCAGTCGAAACTTTTGCAATCTTCTGTGGAAATTGTAGCTGCCTCTTATTTTTGACAATCGTTTTCCACTCACAAAAACTCTTTAATCTAAATTAACGCCATTCGATTGACACAATCGAGTTAATATTAATTCAATTCCATCCAATAATGTTCATGTTCTAATTATAATTAATTTTGCAAACGCACAACTTCGATCATTCATAAAATCATTACCATTATCGCCTTAATTTGCTCTCTGACGATTTCCTCTTTGCATTTTTTTTGTGCTGTTGTTCATGTCAAAGAGACGATGGAAAAAAATTAATCTTAATTTATGCTCAAAATGATTTTTTTCCCTCTTGATTTTTTATCAAGGAATTGTTTGTTGAGCATACGCATTAAAGCAATAAGATAAACAATAACATAACATCTACGTGCTGCTACTACGAAAGCAAAAACAACAAGGAGATGAATGAGAATAATTCAAAGTTAAATCCAAACTTCCGATGGGATGGATGATGGAAGTGTGAGAATTGATAACGAGAAATTGAATTTTTGTTGTTTTTTGGTTATGAAAAATTTCAGACGTTATATTTCAAATTTTTGAATTTTTTCGAAAGCGTTTTTGAAAATGAAGTTTTAAATTTTGAAAAATTGGCTCTTTTTAAGCGGAATTTAAAGGTTTAAATCATTGTTGAATGCTTTGCTCCTAAATATTTCAAACTTTTAAACCAGTTAAATAACTTATAAATTTGTAATTCGGTCAAAAATTTAAATTAAAAAGTTGAAGTGGAAAAAATATTTTTCGAGATCGAAAAATTCGAAATTGAAGTAATAAATCACAAAACTTCCTAGTCCTGCACTTCAGCTTCATTATTATTCAGAAACCAAAACACTTTCAACAAAAGAAAACTCAAGCCTTAAAAACAAACCCAATTTTTAAAAGACGTCCGATTTTTTTCGTGATCGCAATTGAAATAAGAAAAATTCAACCCGGATATTGGAATTATAAGAAGAAGGAAAATCGATTCAGTGGAGGCATTTTCAATCATTGACATGAAGGAAATATAAAATTTATCATTTTCTCTTAATTTGATATGATTTATGAAGAAGAAATAAGAACAAGAATTCAGCGGATATGAAATTTTTTCCTTTAATCGCTTGAGACTTTAGGATGAAATATAGATTTTGGACTGATGTTGAAAGGATTTTGATGAGATTTACGAGATTCCATAACCTTTTTGTGGTAGAAAGAAGAAATTGATAAATTATTCAGTTATTGGAATGTCCAGATTTTTTAAGGCTCGTATGTTGATGGATTACATCATTAACTTTTATTCGTTCTATAGTTTTTGAAAGGTTTAAGGGTGAAATTTTGAGGTTTAAACTTTTCTGATTTAGAAATTTTGTGGTAAATACGAAAATCGATACAGCATGACAGAGCATCATATTTACATCAAAAACAACAAAACTTTTACATCAATAACAAATTGAAACCTATTGATATGTATAAAATTTATAGCAACACGCTTTAAAATCATTCATTTCTCAAAAATATTTGAGAAATATTATACAAATACGTTTCCATCCTAAAGCAGATGATACTGGCAAGAGATTTCGCATAATTTTGTCTTTTTAAGAAAAACATATAAAGCCCTTCAAAATCCAGAAACAAATAGGTTTTTTTTTCTGCTTCTCATCCTCCTTCTAAATCTCCATTTTCTCACTTTCCTATTTATCTTACACTTTTCATTCTCTCGCACAGTCAAAAGGATCAAAAGGATATCTTTTATGAGCTTTCAGGAAATTTTTTGAATTTTCTTCCTTTTCTCATTTCTTTGGAAAAGTAATGGCTTTATGTTGTATGCTTGGGGGGCTTTTGTGTGCATTTTGGGATGTGCTTTAAGTTGAATCGGCATTTGGTGGAAGTTAGGCTTACTTGGTGAAATGAATAAGCTTCGAATTGATTGAGTTATGGATCAAAGATTCTAGGTTCGATCCCGACTTTATTGTTATTCAGATTACAAATTCGTTTATGACTATGAAAAAATACAGCATCTTCAAAATGCGCCATCGTCATCTCCTAAACTTCAATAATTTTCACACACAATTCTCATTTTCATCCGTGGATTTTGTGTGTACGGTTTCATATCATATATACGCAAAATATAGATAATATTTAGATGAGAAGAGGATTATTAAAAGGAAACTCGTAAAAAATATATTTTTATGTATGTATAGGATATACAACAGTTCAAATGTGGGTTATGAATTTAACTTTTGAGCTTTCCGAATATGAGAAAATTTTCTCTTTGAACTTTGCAGCAACAACAACAATAATGTTAAGGAAAAGTGGAAAATTTTTCTTCTTCGTTCATCTGAGATTAGAAAGATTCAGCATGCTTACCACCATTTTCCGTAAAATCAAGGATTTTTGTATTTTATGAAGATTTGCTGTAAGGTATCCGTTATCTTTGTTTACGGCTGTAAAATCAAATTTTTTGATGTGTATCTCATCCCATAAATCTGAGCTTCAGTATTGTGACTTTTTTCATTAGTCTGCATCCAAATAACTCAATTCTGATTACTAAATCTCTTTTTGTTCCAGTATATGCGTCACTGTAATAGTTTTAAACATCCATTTTCGTTCACCACAAACACATACGATGGCACCGTGGGTGCGCACAATTTTTATTAACCATTTGCCTAAATTGCTCGTTATAAAACGTCCGATGTACGGAGGATTGGATCAATATAGGTGAGTGAATTATGGAGGAATTGCATTTAATGACCAAGTCTGGCAATGAAATTTTTTTATCCATTTTTTTTTATTTTGCGTGTTATCAACATCTGTAATTTAGTGCTGCATCACGTCGTTTTATGTTGAGATCGGGAACAGGATTGGAACTGCGTCACGATATTCCACCATGTCCACCTCCAGCTACATTACCAACGAGCTTTGATCCGAGCTTATTAATGGATCATCATATTTTAGATCCAAGTGACAGGTACGGAATTTCTATTATATTCACTTCTTCATATTTATGGATGTATATAGATGCTGTGCTTATAAACATAAAGTTTATATGTGCGTAATATAGTTGAAAACGTGACACAGCGCTTCACTACTCAGCAATAAATTTGAATGGTTTGTGCTTATGCCTTTTTGTGCGATTGATTGAAATGAAGCACTAGAATGAAGAATATTGTATCTGCCTTTTGTATGCATGTGTAACTACATATGTACTTTTGGATATGAATGGTGTTAAAATTCAATCGAGACAAGGAGTGATTGAAAAAAGGCACTTAAAAGAATTTTATTCTATGAGAATTTGATGAACGTGAAATGTGCAAAATTCAACATGATAATGATTACTACTGGAACCATCATTATGAATGTGAGATACAAGTTTTTGGGATGAATGAATGGTATTTTCTGGTAAAACGATCGATATTATTCATAACAGTTCAGACAAGATGTGAGAAAATTTATTAATACTTTCCTTGGTGCTCATGATTGAGTATTTGAATGTTAAGTTAGAATTTTGATAGTTTTCATCGAGATCAACTGGATATTACCTGAAGACTCATATTATTCCAACAAGCACGTCTGATTCTGTATAGAAATTTCGAATTTTAGTTGAAAATCTGACACAGTATGTGCCATTTATCAACTTTATCTTGACTTATGGCTATTAGCTTTAGATTTTCTCACCATAAATCTCCAAGTTTACTGATTCAACAGCTTCACATCATTGAAATTCTAAACTCAAACAAATTACATTGTGATTCATAATTTTATAGATGCAGTCTCGGTCATGGCTCAAAAGCAGCAAATTAGTCCATAAAATAGCAGATTCTTGTCAAATTATAAGTTGAGATTAAATTTATGTTGCTGTGAACTTAAAGTGAACATAACAGAGCAATATAATATATAATTCAAAAGATGTCTCGTCATCTATAAATCTTTTCACATTCAGCACGTCATAAGCTTTTACAAAAAAAAAAAAAAATTATATATTATATTAAATGTACATGCTGCTCGTTCACTCATTTTTACAATATTTTCATCTCCTCCCTGTTTTTTTTTTCAATATGCTCTCTTTCTCATCTCATTCAATATCAACTTCAATTGAGCGAATGCTCAGTTTAATCGAATTAATATCGATAAAATTTCAAAAGCAATTTCGCTTCAATCATGTGGAAAGGAATTGTGAATACGAGCGAAAAAGGAAAAATCTTCTTCCTTTGTGTGATGTTTTTTGAGCTTATGACTCTTATGCCTTAATATCCTTGATTTCTCTTTAACTTCCTATTGATCTAAAAGTTAATTAAAAATGTTTTGTCTTCGAATAATATTCTCGGAAATTTCATCTTTCTCAAGTCTTGTTCTCAGACTGTCTGGCTTAAAGATTAACGGGATCTGGATTTCCGAGTAACTGAACACTTCTACGAAATCTTTATTGTCGAATTATAAACTTGAAATTGGGATTTGAGATGATTTTTTTGATGGGGCTCGTTCATAAGTGTCGTCTGTTAAGAATTGAATGCTTATCCTATTCAGGAATGAGATGTACTGCCCTGCTTCCTTATTGAATCCATTTTGACCAGTGTTATTTAAGTAAAATCTAAGGCTATTAATCCATCACAAATAAACGAATCCCATCAACAAAAGACGCATGAAGTACTCAATTTACAAATGAGGATGTGATTCCGTTACTCCTTTAAAGGTGCTATAATCTATCAAATACTCACTCGAGCATCAAAATACGTGCTTTAATTTAATTCTGATCATAAGCAGGTAGAGTAAATGATTAGCTATCTCAAACTCTAACTTCATTAATTCTTTATGCCTTTTGTCCTCGATTAAACGTAAATTAAGATAATGACAAATAGCTTCAAGGGAATTCCCTCATTTTTTATCTCCAAAATTTAATATTCCCCAGCCAGTTACAGATTTACAATGTAACAATTCATTCCAAGAAAAGCTCTTAGGCCAACAAATTTTTTTCTCATTACAATGTGGGCAGAAATGAACAAAATAAGACATCAACCATTTCACGCTAATGACATCGATAATGATGGCAAGCCTCACAAGAGAATGAACAAGAAAGGAAGAAAAATTTCCGTAAATGAAGAAGCACGGAGGAATGCTCGACCATGAATTTACATAAATCGAGCTGAATTAATTATGTCATAACTCAATGCTGTGTGCTGTGTAAGTCAAGTGAGATGACGGGAAGGCATTAGTAATTCATCAAGTTTAATAGTTTCTTTCCGCAAAACTCCACTTTTCTTCTCCATTAAAGCATGTCATAACGAATTATTTTAATGAGAATAATTTTTTATGCTGTTTACTGAGTTCTATTCTGAGGGATGGAATTTAGGGAGTTGGAGTCGCATTGTCTTTATTTTATGGGGGTTCTATACAAACAAATGGAATTAACCTGAACAAAATTAAGCCGTTAATTTTAAAATTTGAATTTTTCAGCAAAGTTTTGAGCATTTAAATATTATCTAACCGTTATTATTTTATTTGGTGTTTTCAAGCTAAATGAATAAAATCGGTCCGGTGCCAAGTTCTAAAAGGCATTTTAACTTCAAGCACCAACACCTTTAAGAATAAGTCACAAAATTGCTGCTTTACCACTTACAGACAATAAACAAGCTCTTATTCTTTCTTGCGATTCCTTTATTCATGAATATTTCATTTCATGAAAATTTAAATGACGAAAAACTTCTTCCTTTAGAGGAATTACTAAAAAAAATTTAAGAGTTTCTTTCAAGTTGAATTTTCATTCAAGAGAGATTTTTTCCCTCAATTAATTTTCAGCAACAAAACTTGTTTCCGCGTTCTCACTCATTCATTATAAAAACTTGTGAAAATTTTAAGCTCTTTAGTGAGAATGTAATGAAGCATATTTCATTAATTTAGGGAAAATACTAGAGTTCCTCCGTTAAGGATCATTGAGATTTTGCATGATGAGACGTAAGAAGCTAAGTGCTTTATAAAGTTGAGTTAAAAACTGCGAATTTTGAGTTTCCAATTAAAATTCTCTCAAATATTTACAAGAAAGTGTCTAAAAATAAATGTTAAGTGACATCAGATCTCAGATCTTGAAAGCACAATGCGTGCCGCAAAGCAGCAACTTTTGAAGTTGTTTTCCTTTTAAAAAATTCAAAAGACGACAAATTCGAGCATCCTCATTTGAAATTCAATGTTAAATAACTGCCGACGTTCCTAGAACTTCTCCTAATCATCTAAATTGAATGAAATGAGAACATTTTCCATGAAATTTGTTATCAAAAAAATGTCAATCTACACAAAAGCTTTAAAACTAAACATGCTTATTCATTCCATACGCATAAAGAAAATGAGAGAATCTCATTGACAGAACGGACGGAAGTAGAAGAGAATCATAAACCCGTTGTTATTTTTTTTATATTATTTAATGGAATTATTATTATTTTCATTGTTATGAATGGAAAAGGCATTGTGCGATTAACATGCGATTCAAGTAAAGCTGTGATGACATTCTCGACATTTACAATTTCTCATGTTTGCTTCCATGTCACATTGTGGAGATTCTAGCGGTTCTGATTGACGCCACAAGAACATTACAATTTCGATAAAAATCTGGTAGATCTGGATGTTTTAAAATCACTGGATCTATCAAGTATCAAGCTTCTGGTAGATCTGGATGTTTTATTATATCATATAATGGCTATTTAGCATTATATGATCAGTAATAGGACGATAAATTGATTTAAAACTAGCACATTCTTACAAGTTTCAGTCAAATGACTTCAATTTCAATCCATTAAACTCTACAAAATGCCAATTAAGGGCCATTGACTAGCAATAAGCATAATGACACGATAATCCGGAAACTCCTTAAAAATCCAAGTTATTCCACAACCCCTACGACTATCTCTCGATTTAGTGTCGTTTCCATCCACAAAATCATCCAAAGCATGACAAGTCAATGTAATAAGTGCTTGTAAGACTGCTTTTTCGACAAATAAAATTACTTTACTGAATATAAATTGCATAATTATAAGTTTATCAGCTGTCTAGAATTACTTTTTCTCCTTCTGTAGAATGTATGAAGGAGAATGGTATGACATGAGTTTGATATGTCTATGACACTATTACAGTAACTACATTGTATGTGTGTTTTTTTTTTGGATGTTGATGTGGATGGATGGTATAAAAGTTTTATAAATGCAAAATAGATGATACGAGTTTGTTGTTGTTTGTCCTATTTCATGTAAATTAATGGCAATAACTTCCATGGTTGATGTAATTACATGAGTATCATATTGTTGGGACAAGTTAAAGAGAGAAATCTGTTTAGAGAAAGCTTACCCAAAGTTTGTGGCAACAAATCCTTTTTATTGTATATTTTTTGGAATCAACAGACTATGGCAATCAGTTCACATGTGAAATCAATCTTCCACCTCTAAGTCTGTGACTTTTCAACAGTAATCTACAGCATCCATTAATTTTCATTGTAAAGCCAATATCCCCCTTTGCATGACATTCATTAATCATTAAATTACAATCTTTTACCCATTCTTTCCATTGCTGCTGCTGCTGCCATCATGCACACTCATCACACAGGAATTTGGAAACAATTAGTATAGGAACGTGTAGATTACATGGCAGCCCAAAGCACGGAACATCGACAAATGTTTCACCACATCACCGATTACATCATCATCATCACATGTATTTGCATCGTTCGCATAGTAGAGTACAAAATTTGGATCTTATGGATGATCTCCCGTTACCATTTCAAACGGATCCACATCATTTAGGTTTATTGGTGCAAGAGTCACCGATGTTATCACCAAATCCACCACCATCAGTGATTGAGAGTAATGGACAAAATTTCTCATCAACAGCAACAAATACACTAGCCAGTGGTCAATCGACAACGACCACAAATAATCCTAATATAAATAATAGTAATACGGTTAGCAATTTAAATAATAATTCGACATCAACAAATACGACTAATGTGATAATTAACAATATTAAAACAAATACAACATCAATTGGGACAACCAATCTTGATAGTGGAATTGTTCAGCCATCGACAACGACGGAGGGTGATGAAACAATGACAACAAAAACTAATAAAACCGAGAATAAAGAGTCAAATATTCGACATCGTTGGCATACGTGTCCGGAGCTACATAAAGCGATGGATGGTGTCACATACATAGCTGATCATACGAAAAAGGAGGAGGAGAGTACGAGGGTAAGTTTAATTGGATTAATAGCTATTCATGAAGCTTTATTAGGAATTTTTGATTGGAACATTAAAGTCTTTCACTTAAATCCAAGGCAACGGAGTGGGAAGACTTCCTTAGCTAATGTTATACAGCTACAAAAAAATTCAAATAACAATTTAATTTCCATATTCTATAGCATTTCCTTAAATAATCAAATGAGCTTTAAATAAAGAATAAGAAGTGAGCTTTTAGTTATAAACTTTAAGTTTTCCTTCTTCAAAGCAGCACCTTAGCTCCTTGAAAGTTGTTTTGGAAGTAATTTAAATTCAATACGGCACAAGAAAGTGTAAAGATGTAAAGGAAGAAGCACTTGAGCTTTTGTTTTCAGTTTTGGGTTTGCTTTGGGTGCTGACAATGTTGAGTGGAGTTATTTTTAAGGAATGTCCAATAGTTTGAAGGGCTAGAAGTTTTATGACACTTAATACAAAGTAGATTTGACCATAATTTTGAGATTTATTTAAAAAGAGAACGTCCGATTAGTTGCTCAAACCAAAGTCGCTTCTATCCCCTCAACTTTTTAATAACTCTGAGTCTTCCTAACTGATTTTAAAAGTTTTGTCACGACTTTTTGTCTTCATTTTCTATTAATTCTAATAAAAACTGTTTGAAATACAAAATTTTTGTGATAAAATTTTTAAAGGACGTACCAAAAATTCTAATTCAATTTCAATCTCTCTCATGACTATTTTTTTTTGTTCCTTCTATTATTCCTTTCATGCTTCTCTAATGATGGTGACTACTGTTATTGGCGACCGTACACAATCAACATAGGTGAAAGAAGATTGGAAATACGTGGCAATGGTGCTAGATCGTTTATTTTTATGGATTTTTACAATAGCTGTTGTTGTGGGTACTGCGGGCATTATTTTGCAAGCACCTACATTATACGATTCCAGAATGCCAATTGACATTAAGTTGAGTGAAATTGCATCCACAACACAAATGACGAGACACGCGAGACCGGTTTTATAATTAGATTTAATCTCATCGTCATTTTCGATGCTGCCTGCCTGTCTAACATGCCTGTTATTTCGACGTGGAACGAGGAGATTTTACATATTTTTTTAAGGACATTGGGAGGCACCATCAACAATAAAAGAGAATCTTTCGTAATCGCCGCAACGAATCTTCACATAAAAGAAAAATAAGAATAAAATAAATGAGGAAAAAAAAATTAAATGAATAAGTTCGTGAGTATTTGTCTATTTCTATCTGTCATTCTATCCTTTTAAGAATTAAAATGAGTCTCGAATTCGACTTACAATAGGACTGTGAAATCGAATTCAATTTTTACTTGCTTATTATTACTGAAAAATATATTATACTCTCTATTGAAGTATGAGTTCTTTTTTATAAACGTACACTGTACAATAGAATATAAAGAAAAAATATATTGGAAGTAATCTATACTATAGAATGAATGATTAAAGATATTAGGAAAATAATCAATCGAATTCATCATCTGATTTTTTAATTTTATTAAATTTTTTAAAGAAATTCAATTCGAGAAACTAACAGGAAGTTTACAGGAGTAATGGATTTGTAGGATTAAATGTTGGATTCCTTTAATTTGGCAATAAAATTCAATTTGAAATTCTTTTGGTATTATTTTCAAAAGTTCATGCCCTAAAATTGACATTGAACAAACTTCTCGCATAAAATCCTACAAATCCATTACATCCAACTTATACAATAACCAATAACTTTCAATCTAAAAACATGAAAATAAATTTTATAGCACAAATATGAAAATTTACAAGAATTGCGTCAAAAAAATGAGCAAACTTTACGTACATTACGTGAACAGTGTAAAGAAAACTTTCGTAATTTTTGAAATTTTAAGCGCTACAAAAAGATTTTTCATCATTAAAAATTCCTTTCACAATCTCACGTAAATACATTTAATTGAATATTGGATGGTGGCTGAGTGGAAATTTCTTGTTGTGGAATGGATTGTGAGCTGATTATTCTTTAGTTTAGTTGGTTGAGAATGAGCAACGTGCTGTGGTTTTGTTTAAAGACATTTTCAAATAATTTGATTTAATTTATTTTTTTCATAAGAATTCCTGCAATTTTTGAATTTTTTAACTTTGCTTATTTATTACTTCATGGAATAAGATTACTTTAGGCTCTCGTTTTTTGATCTAAATTTAATTAGGTATTTTTGTTATCACACGAATTCATATCTAAAGGGGAGTGAAACTACGTTTGTATGAAATTTGAATTTTAACATTCCTATACAAAATTTTAATCATTAGCTCACAAATTGATATCTAAAGGGGAGTGAAACTACGTTAGTCAATATTAATGAATAGAATTTAAATCATAAAAATCAGTTAAAAAGTAACAAAGCATTTAGAATCAAAAACTGTCGACATTCCAATAGAAATTCTATCTAATTCCTAGGAACATACAAATTAATGCATGACATTCACATAAGTGACAAAACTTTAATGAAATAAAACTTTCACAGTATGTCCATAAAAATGTGTTGTTTTACGAGAGCTTAAGGATTTACATACATTTTGTGGATATAAAAATTGCAAGCTGGTGTTTCTTTTATGGGGTAATAACTGCTTTCACTATTGCACAGCAATAAAGCAAAATAGATTAACTTGTAAGGCACGAATATCATTACACGCATGTAATAGCCAAAAAAGTTTTTCTTTAATAGAAAATTATGGATTTTTGAGGACATGTAGAGGTGAATTCCATCGTACATTAAATGATCCCGAAATTCCACAAATATTTCTAAAAAAACAAAAAAAGGACATCTTTTGTGGCGAGCATTTTTGTGTCTTCTCTGAGCTATTTCATAATAAATTTTTACATGCTAGTAAATATTTGGTAAATTTTTGATGAGGAACATTTTCTGTCTCTTTCTATCTTATGCTTTTCATAATTTGTGTGATTCATGAGAATGCCTCAAGATCTCATAACATTATTATGGTCTTTATAACTTACAAAAGAATGAATTTTACAAAGTAAATTTCAGAGCTATTCATGGCTTGAGGCTATTGTAGTAAGAATATTTTCCGACAACCTCAAATAAGTGGTGTAAACTTGCTCTTGTAACATGCAAGAAGGCATGAAGTCTGTTTATTGAGATTTAATGGGTTTATTTAATGCAATATGATGCTGCCTATGTGTACATCCATAAATATTGTGTTATGAAATTTTATAAGTGCAATAACAAACTTCATAAGTGTTGAAAGATTTTCACAGATTTATGAGAATCATAAGAAGTAAGTTGCAGTCTATAACTTCTGTAAAGTGTCGATGAATGCTGAAATTACAACGATTTTTATTAATTCACTACGAAAGCACGTTGAATATTATTTTTATATCTCTTCCATTTTCATTTAAGTATCTAGATTTCCACCTGTTCATTTCCCATCCACAACAGCACATGCTAGGAATTTACATTCAACTAAATCTGATTCCATTCTCTTTTTACTCTCGTAGGAAATTATTATAATATATTTTATAATTTTTTTAATTTTTGATCGTATGAACTTCCATAAATGTACTATATAAAAGTTATGTAACTGTAGATAATTCTAAAAAAAGATGCATATAAATGAAACTATAAAAATTTATGAGAAAAACACAAAAAGGGGAAAAGATAACTTATGTTTATGATGAATGAATACTTAAAAAATTGCATAGAATATTTAAAAAAATGTAATGAAAGAATCTATGAAAATATGAATAGTTATGAAAAATTTGAATGTTGATTTTTAAAATTGAATATTTTTTTAAACAAAAAAGTTCTTTTTGAATCCTTTGAGTTGCTATGTTAACTTGTATAGCTTGCTGTTTAAAATTACTCAATGAGGTTAAATGGTCGGAAGATATTTTTGAAATTAAAACTTTTTGAAAATATCTGAAAACTTTAATTTTTGCTCTCCAGAACAAGATAATTAAACTTTTTTACTCTATTTTATGGTTTAGTAAACTATTTTATCATTTTCAACTTTTATAATTTGATTTTATAAAAAATTGTTTTTGAAAATAATGATTTTGAAACTTTAAACTTCAAAATAAGAAAATAAAATCTACCAAAATAAGCTACGAACGTGACGATGTAGACAAAACAAACCAAAAAACCGAGAAAATAAATAAAGAAGACTTTCCATTAAAAAAAGGTTTGTAATTGCTGCAATTACCAATGAAAGTTTTCAATTTCGAATAGAAAAAAAATTAATAAATTAATTAAAACTAGTGAAAATGATGAAATGAAAAAAAAAATTAAAATTTTATGAAACGAAAGAAATTTTTAAAGTTAACATTAATGTGTAATTTATATTAAATTTATTAAATAAAGAAAATTGACTAATAATTGTAATAATAAACGCAAAATAATATAAAATTAAATAAAATTATTAATGAAAATGGTAAATAATGAAATCTAATTAGATAATTTGTATATTAATGTTGGCACAGCAATGAAACTTCTTATGATTCTCGTGAAAAATGAAATTCGAGTTTATTGCAAAATCTAGTACTTGATGAAGGTACACAATGAGATCAAATTGCTGTTAAAATGGTAATTTGTAACAGCAGACGCAGCTATTATTCACATGAGTTCGGTACTCAATTGACTATTGAAATTGTAGTTGAACTAGTTAATCTAGTCAAATTAATATCGAACCAAGTCATTTGTCAAGAGATTCACAAGAAAATTCATTGAATTGCTTTAGAAAATGAAACGAAAATTTTATAAAACAATATTAAAAATAAAAAACCAAAAAATCATGAAATCTTTGAAGAAAAATCTGAAAAAAGTGTTCAATATTTTACTTTATATTAAAATTTAAAACTTGTATAAACAATTTTTGTAATAACTTCAGTTAGAATCTTTACTTACTTTTTATAAAAGCAAGAAATGTCACATTTTCATTTTCTTGAAATCATAAAAAATTATTTCATTAAAGATATCCAATTGTTTAGTCATCTGGAACTGATTTCAAATACAACTTATAAAGTCAACGTTCCAAAATAAGATTCCATGTAAATTTCTAAGTTTGGATATTAGTTAAGTCTAGATATGATTAGAATAGGACGATGATAGCGAGGTAAGTTACGAGTGAATGAATTTTGAAAGTTGAATGGTGAAATATCTTGAAATTAGAAAAAATTATCAAATCTGCTTCACAATGTTAAATCTCAACAATATTCTTTTTATATTGAATCTTAATAAAGATCAAGCTTAAAAGAGCATAAAGCCTGATTTGGCAATTCAATTTTTGAAAGCTTTCAAAAACTTAGTAAGTGTAACCTTTAAATGAGCCATATTTATTATTATTAGTTCTTTTTTGGGTCATTTTCTGAATGAAAGTTCCACAAACCTTTTTTTCTTGTTTCACATCTTTGACTAAACATTCGTGTTTACATTTTTAAAGGGATCCGGAAATAAAAAACTTTTTCAAAGAAGTGAAAATATTTCTGCCTTTAAATTCTCATTAAATAATTTAAATATTATGATTGAGGAACCCCAAAATTAAGTGACACGACTCCCCACCTACTGTTTAAGATGTATTCATACCTTAACAGGTGGAAATGAAAAAAAAATTCCTTTTCTTTCACGTGGGTTAATAAATTTTCTGCTGACCGTTTTCGTCCTCATCAAAGTAGATACGAAATCCTTTCTTTTATTATTTAGAATTTTCTCATTTCTTTCATGCTTCCACATCCTCTTCTTGTTGCTGTTTCGGTGGAGGGGGATCGTAAAAGGTTATTAAATATAATTTACGATTCATAAAAAGGTTCGAATGTTTACTTGTGTAAAGTTGGATTTCAAACTCTAATGGACGAGACTTTGTTGCGGTAGTAACGAGCTAGAAAGCGATATTAGAGCGGCAACCTTACAGAATAAAGTTTAAGTGGCTTAAAGTTTCGAAGCAGACCATACAAAAATCATTTTGGGAGATCAAAGCACTGGCAAAGCTGTAGCCAAGGAAATATTTATC